CCACTCTTCCTCTCCTGCTTAGGTCCTTCTCGTGGCCCCTACGCCCTTATCCCAATACACACTCCAAGAAATACAACACCTCCAACAGTTGCGGGAACAGAGAAAGGACAATTGCTATATTCTCTCCAGTCGCTATGTCCTCCCTACTACACAAGCTGAGCAAATCCTTTTAGATTTCCATAATTCAGTTTATACAGGCTATGAACCCATACTATGCCTTCTTCAGCCCTTATATTACTCTCCCCACAAAAGGACATGCTATCTTCTACCCTTAGTAGATACCTTTTCAGGTTGGTTTGAGGCTTTTTCCTGCACTTCAGAGGATGCTACAGCAGTAACACATGCTCCCACCTCAGAAATCATCCCTCGTTTTGGCCTACCCATCAGTCACTCACTCGCCTATGGGCTGCCCCCCACAAGCCCACAAGCCTCAGGCCCCTCAAACTTATGTACGGTAGGCCTTTCATTCTCACACCTCTCCCTTCTAGCTCATTACCTTTAGGCCAGTATCTCCCTACTCTTTCACTCATTCAAGATCTTCTTAGGGAACAGGCCAACCTTCTATTACCTCATCCCTTCCCCATCACCCCCTCAGACTTTAAACCGAGCCCCGGACAGAAAGTGTATATTAAAACTCAAATCCCAAATCCCCTCTCACTGTGTTGGGAAGGGCCTTATACAGTACTTCTCACCACCCCCATGGCAGTAAAAGTACTAAGAAAGGCCCCTTGGTATCACTTATCCTTGGTAAAACTAGCACTTGAGACTTTACCAAAAGAAACTGTTAACATCAAGCCAGAGGGGTCCCTCTATTCAACCCCCAACCCGACATCTCCTCATGCTTCATCCATTTTAGGACCCACAAAACTAAAAATCTCCAGGACCTTCATTCTTCCCCCAATCCTAGAAGGAGGATGATCTTTCCCCCGGCGATTATCCTCTCACTCTTGCAGGCCCACTTCACGTCCTTCACACAAGAGCTACTATTTTACTGTCTGTTGAAGTACTTGCTACAGGATTGGCAGCAGCACCCCCCACCCAAAGAGTGTAACATTATGGGAAGATTTCCCCTGCACTCCTTTACCTCCTATTGGTAGGATGCTTCTTAGCAATTTCATCGTGGCAATGTCCCCTTTAAATTCTTTTGGCTCCCTAACCCTTTGCATCCTTCCCGTGTTTTTTCTCCTATCTCAATGCTCCCCCTTACCCGGAACATGGAGGTTCCAGGTCCACAGGGACGATGCAGTCCTCAGTGAATCAGACTGGTCCCCAAGCAACTCATCTGTCTCCTACTTCGCGAGAAACTTTTTGTGGCCACCCCCCTCCCTGTCAATGCAGCCCACGATGTTTCCACAAATGTCTCTTCACTTTCCTCTAATCTCGCCTCAGTGGGGACTGTCAGTGTTGTGCGGGGCCTCCCCACACTCTGCCTCACTAACACCAAACACTACCACTCACTTACCCCCTCCTCATACATGCCCTAAAACCGGAATATATCTCCTTTGTAAAACTACGTTATCCCGTTGCCTTCCCCCGCTAATGCGACTTCTTGCATATTCTTTTGGCTTGTCCCTGACATCACCCTCCAGACAGATGGAGAGATGGAGATGGGACTGGGACTAACTTCACCCCCCCCCTTAGGAAGTGCCCTCGCTCCCGCAGGGCACTGATTGTACCTTTTTAATTGGGGCAGGGATCCTTCTTGTAACTGGAACTGGCATAGCAGGCCCTGCTCCTGCCTCTCAATTCTACCAAAAACTCTCAGAAGAACTAAGCATAGACAGCATCTCCTTCCTCCAGTGACAGGTCACCTCACTCGCGACAGTCACTTTACAGAACTGCAGTCACTTTACAGAACCGTCGGGCCCTTTACTTCCTTACAGCCACACCTGCCTCTTCTTGGGGGAGTAATGCTGTTATTACATAAATGAGCCTGGGGTGATCCAAAACAACTTAAACCATTTCACTAAACCCTTTGATACCCGGGCTTATGCCCCTACTAGGACCCCTAACTGTGCGTGCCTCATCCTACTTTTTGGCCCTTGTCTCTTTTGGTGTTTCTCTAATTTCTTGCAGGAACATATGCAGGCTTTCACCAAGCAAACGGTCGCCAAACTGTCCCTGCAAGGAGGATATCAGCCCCTCAGAATCAGCGACCCTTCCCCGGAAGAATACAGCCTCCCCACATTAAACCAATACCCCGCCACCTAAATCTTTTATTTTTCCCGTATATTCGTCCATCTCCAGCAGGAAGTGGCTTCAGAAGAATGAGACCTCCGCTCTTTTCCCTATACTTAAAAGGCAGGAATAATAGATTTGCAACATAACCAGCGCCACTTTAGAGAAGACCAAGAACAAAATGGCGCAACCCACCTCCTCCCCTCCTCCCTTTCCTTTACGAGAAGCCTCCTGACTTAAACAGAAACCCCTTTTGCTTCTGCAAGGATGCAATTCTCCACCCCGATCCACATTAGCATAATGACCCTCCTTGATGGTATCAGCCAGCCCTTGGCACACTATATAATCTCTACCACCCCCACACCTGGTGCTGTCCACCATTTGCACAGCAGTCCTCGGCCCTGTGCCATTCTGAGCATAGCCCAGAAGATTTCTTTCTTTAATAAAGCTTGAACAGTACCCGGCATATTGGCTCACTTTCTTTCATAAGTATACTACAGGAATGTATTATCTAAAAGAACCCTGAAACAGATCTCTTTATAAAGCCAAGAATCTTTCTGAATATAAAGTGATCATATACTCATTTATCTGGCTTCACACTTTTGTGTATGGTGTCAGGTTCTTTTAAAGCAGAGTTCACCAGAAATCCATTACTTCAGGCAGCAGGATCCCACACCTGGGCTTTAAAACCTACAGGATCTCAGTCCAGTTGTGTTACCCCTGGTCCAGGATAGTCAGATAAAGCAACAGGTTTTGGCCTTTATTACAACTGCCCTTCCCTTCCTGCAGGAATCTCCATACTTCAATGAGAAAATGCCCCTTCATTCTGGTGTTCTTCAGCATCCCAGAGTCACCACTCCCAAACCACTTCCTCGTGTATTCTCCATTCCCCATTGCAACCCTTTTAACTTTGTTTTGGTCCTCTCTTACATTTTCCCACTTTGCACACATCTTTTAATCTCTCTGTGCCTCAATTTCTTCATCTGTAAAAACGAAAATAAAACAGTACTTCCCTCCTGAACAAATGACACAGTATATGCCATAAATTAGGATGTGGTAACTAGTATTTTGTTTCCACCGTATCCCTAATCAATCTACAACCCAGAAAAAAATTGGAACAAAGGTCCTTTCCAATGATATAAATGTTTTTTTCAGAGTCTGTGTTTTCTACAATAAAAGAAACCTCCACCTACCGCATTAGACAATGTACTGGAATAAAATGTATGATCCCAAGAAAGCTCCAAATGTTGCAATGGAAAAAAAGAAATTAATTCAGCAGAATGCCATTTATATATATTCATTTTTATAATGTTTTCCTTTAAAGCAAGCACTAATAGGAGTACATAACCTTCTTCTGTTAATCTGGAAGCTTCACAACACTGCTTTTGGGGTTAGCAGAATGCCATCCCAGGGAATCTCAGCAGAAAGGACAGCTGTCAGTTTTACTGGTCACACCTGACCAAGGCCCAGTTATGACTCTTCCATCTTCACTCACTCCCATCATAAGCCTCAGGAGAAATAAAAAGCATCATTATCTTAGGAAAAGTTGCACAAGGGAGAGGGAGAACCTCAATATGTTGATTATGTTATGGCAAGGCTCCAGGTTATCTTCTAAATATAATTTATTTAACAAAGACCCACTCAAAGGCTACCTTTTGTACTCAGATGAACATAGGTCTTGTAGAGAGGCCTGGGTCTGAAAGCCTGCCTCCCACTTATTTGGTGTAGGCAGTCTTAGCTTCCATACTTTTGAAAACATATGTGGATACCACCCACTTTACTCTGTTGCAGTGAGAAGATAGAAAGATACCTAAAACAGCCATTCTGGTGGGTGCTCAAAAGTCAGTTCCCCTCCCTGCTCTTCTGAAAAATTAGTTCTTTTTTGCTAATTCTAACTCTTAGTACCAAGCTAAAGATCTCTTTTTCCATCTGCCACTTCTCTGGAAACTGACTTACTCTTTTTTTCTCCCCCATACAGTTTGGAAGACATGAAAATCACTTCCTGGCAATTCCACTAAGAGACCAGTTGTACGCTCACTAAACATATGTGTATGTATATACTTCTCGACTCTCAAATCACTATACTAAAGGCTTAGGGACTGAAAAGAGAATTATACAGGTACCCTCTGTTGAATACCTTCTATGTGCCAGACAATAGCTGACTTCGCACAGTAACCTTATGAGTGGGCGCATTATTCCCAAAGTTACATGTGAAAAAACAGACGCTTACTTAACACATGTGCCCAAAGTCACACAGCCGAGAAAGAGCCATTCTCGTGGATGCACAAGAGTCGGCACCCTGCCCTGACTGCTGAAACACTGGATCTCCTGTGCTAGTTCTAACTCGTCACCAGGCTCGCCACCGGCCTCCAGGGCTCCAGCCCTCAGTCACGCCATCTGCACAAGCTTCGGGGCCTCCCCGGAGGTCCGTGCAGAACTGGGGAGTAAAGAGCCGCCAGCAAGGAGCACCACGGTCGCGGCGGCCTTTCCCGCACAGCGCCCTCGCCGAGCGGTGGGCGGGCCCAGCGCATCACGACACACACACATGCAGCCACTGAAACCCAGACTCCGAGACCTCAGCGACTGCGAGGTCTCACTCATAAGACAACGAGAACGCGCCAGGGCCAGGACTCGAATCTCGGTGCCTGGGCAGACTCCCTTCAGTTAAGCGCCGCGGGAATCCGGAAGTCGCCCGGGGATTCGGCGCGTCCCCTCAGGGCCTGCGGCCTTCGTTCCCCCGACCCGAGCCCAGGATTCGCCTCAGCTGAAGCCCCGACCCGGTCCCCCTCACCCTTAGAGGTTCCTTCCTCCCCAGCCCCTACCTGGTTGCTGGAAAGACCATGGTCAATCAGCTCCATCCTTCCGCCTCGGAAGTGACGTGTCCGGTCCGCACGGCTCCGACCACGCCCAGCGCTTAGGCTGCGCATGCGCGTCGGGCCTGCGTCCCTGCAGGCGTAGGTCCGTCCATCGGTCCTCCTGTATAGGTACTTTCCTTTCATCTTCCGCAGGGAATTTGGAGAGGTCGTGGTTTCGGTTCCGGGCACTTTCGGGGGAGAGCAAAGTTGGAGAATTTACGCTACAGTTATCAAGATTATTACGAAGTAGTGGGGAACAGTGGGATATGTGCGCAAAGACAAAAATCATGAAAAAGAAGAAAGGCCACAAAGAGACCCACAGGTGTATAGCCACATTTTTTCCGCACTGTAATATAATGAAAAAGATTCTCTTCAGTAATAGACCTAGGACAATTGAATGTCGATTGGGGGACAATGAACCTTGACTGCTGCCTCGTGCAAAAAATGTACCGGCCCTAAAGGAAAAGGCTGATAAATTGGGCGTTGTTAAATTTAAAACAGCTGAAGATACAATTAAGACAATGAAAAGGCAAGTAATAAAGCAGAGAAGATACTTGTAATACATATATCTGAAAATGACCTTTATTCAGGCTATATGATTCTTGCAAATAAATTTTTTAAAACACCTGAAGTGATAGAAGAGGAAGTGTGTAAAGAGGCAATAGAGAAATGGGAGGAATTCTCATAGTTCAAAAGTCAAAAGAGGCTAAAAGTATGTAAATTGAAAAAATCTCCCTCCCTATTCCCCAGACACCAGGTTTCTCTCCCCCCTAGGTAACAATGCTTTTAGCTGTGTATGTCCTTCCAGCACTTTCTTATTCGTAATCGAGCAATTATGTATATATTCAACACCCCCCACACCCCATTACACAAACAGCAATACTGTAACACTGCTCTGTTTCTTGCTTTTATTCACTTTGGTCAATTAATATATCATGGAAATCTTACAGGAATCCACAAAATCTGAAAACATAGGGGAAATTTTATTTTTAACTGAATGTTAGCTACATTTTCAAATAATATGTTTAGTATGTTTTCCTTTGACATATTTACAGGAGTTTATATACCCTCCTGGCACCTCACCATGGTTCTGAAAACTCTAGACTCCTGCTTGCCATTTCCCAAAGTTTCAATATCCCAGTAACAAACCCAGTATGATCCTGACTCCTTACTGCAAGACTGAGCCAGTTTCCAGGGTTAATTTCACTGGCCTATTATTCTCTTGCCCAATCCACCATTCAGTCCTGCTTGGAGTTTGTTCTAGAAGCAAGACAGTAGATCCCAACGTTTTCGTAGCCAATTTTAATTGGATCTGTCAAGTGCAAGTGTAAAAACTCTAACTTCCCGGCAGGATAGTATACAAATAGATCCCCACTGGTTATCACAATATCACAGCCTTCTATGAAAACAGGACAGGGGACTTCCATTTCTGCAAAGATGGAATAGACACACTTTTCCCTATTCCTCTCACTAAATACAACTAAAACCTTGGACATTATACATAAAACAAGCATAAGAAGACTGAAAAGTGGACAGCATGCAGACCAGCCAGGGACCTCAGGATCCCAGGAACAATATAGTCGTTGTTGCCTCATATGTGTACCGGAGGAACAGGCAACCTGCAAATACCAACAGACACAGACAAAGCCCCAAGAAAAGCCTGTCTCTCTAGCCAAAGGACCAGGAAAGGGGCAGCCTAGGAAGACAGAAAACTTTTAAACAATAATGGCTCCACTTCAGACAAAACCATAGAAAAAAACTTCAGCCCTTCCCTTAAGCCTGCTTAGTGGAAAGCCTAGACTGCGTCTGGTGTAAAGAGGCACCACCACGCACTTCTCCCTTCTGCTGATATGATATCAGAGAAGGCCAATTGGAGAACAGGGACTTTCATTCCTGCTGGGCAGTAAGGAGACTCTTACCTAACATGGTGTTTGTGGAAACTGCGTGAGGAACCTGGACTTCCACCCCCACTTGATTGTAAGGAGTCACCCTTCTCCTCCTTTCTGGGGCAGTGTCAGAGGGAACCATGTGGAGAGTCAGGACTTTCACTATCACTCAGCAGCAACAATGCCACCTCCCACCCCACACTCAGTGGAAGCCATATAGGGAACAGTAACTAGGTACCCCTTCCCCTCCCAGCTGTGGTGACATCAGTGGTAGCCTGCTAGGGAGCCTAAACTCCCCACTTGTGCCAGAGTCCCTCCAGGTGTCAACAAAGCCCAAGTGGAGAGCCTGGACTTCCACTCCCACCCGGCAATAATGAAGGGGCTTCCCTTTCCCCTACCAAAGTGATGTCCAAGGAAACATACTAAAACACAATATTTAAGTAATGTCCAGTGTCTTAAAATACCCAAAAATCCAAGTTTCTATCAAAAAGTGTTCATTATACCAAAAAACAGGAAGATCTAAACTTGAATGGAAAAACACGATCAACAGATGCCAACACAAATGACACAGATGTTAGAATTAGTTGACAAGGATTTTAAAGTGGCCATCATAAAAATTTTTCAATGAAAAATTACAAACATACTTGAAACAAATGAAAAAAATAGAAATTCTCAGCAAAGAAATAGAAGATATAAGAAAGAACCAAATGGAAATTTTAGAACTAAAAAATACAATAACTGAAATTAAAAACTTAATGTATGGCTCCACAGCAGAATGAGGAGTACAGAGGAAAGAATCAGCGAGGCTAGAACAATAGAGATGACCCAGTCTGACCAACAGAGGTAAAATACATTGAATAACATGAGCACACCCTCAGGGACAGGTGGGACTATAGCAAAAGATCTAACACATATGTCGTCAGAGTCAGAAAAGGAGAGGAGAAAGAGGATGGGGCTAAAAAAGTATTGGAAGAAATAATGGCTGAAATTCCCTAAATTTGGCAATAGACATAGTCCTGCACATTGAAGAAGCTGAGGGCTGGCTAGTTCAGTTGGTTAGACTGTGACGTTGATAACACCAACGTGAGGATTCAATCCCTGTACTGGCCACCTGCAAAAAAAAAAGAAGAAGAAGAAGAAGAAGAAGAAGCTGAGCAAACCCCAAGCAGGTAAACCCAAAGAAATCTATGCCAAGACACGTCATAGTAATGCTTACAAAAACTAAAGACAAAAATCTTGAAAGCAGCTGGAGAGAAAATATGTATTACTTCTAGGATAAAAACAATTCTCAGGACTGCATTTTTCTTATCAGAAACCATAGAAGCGAGTAGGAGGTGGCACAAATTCTTTAAGTGCTGAAATAAAAGAACCATCAACTCAGAACTCTATATCCAGCAAAAAATATCCTTTGGAAATGAAAGGGAAATAAAGACATTCTCACATGAAGGAAAACTAAAAGAATCTGTCACCAGTAGACCTAACCCACAAGAATGGCTCAAGAAAGTGCTCTAAACAGAAATCAAATTTTATCAAAATGATAAAAGAAGGGATCTTAGAACATCAGGAAAGAAAAAAATGATAAGAGTAAAAATATGGGTAAATAAAATAGACTTTTCTTCTCCTCTTGAGTTTTCTAAATTACGTTGAATGAATAAAGCAAAAATTATAACACTGTCTGATATGGTTCTTGGTGTGTATATTGGGAAATAGTTAAGACAACTATAAATAGGGAAGGAGGTAAGGATTCTATTCTTCATTCAACCTGGTAAAATGTGGACACCAGTAGACTGTGATAAGTTAAGTATATATAACGTAATTCCTAGATCAACCACTAAAAAGCTATACAAAGAGATACATTCAGAAGTATTATAGATGAAATGGAATTCAAAAAAATGTTCAAATAACCCACAGGAAGAGAGGAATAAAAAAAGAGATAAGAAAAGTAGAGAAAACAAGCAGAAAATAAAAAATAAAATAACGAACTTAAACTTTAATAAGTCAATAATTACATTCAATGGAAGAGGTTTAAATTCAAAAATTAAAAGGCAGGAATTGGCAGTGCAGATAAAAATAACATAATTCAACTATATGCTACCTACAGGAAACTCCCTTGTTAGGTAGGTTGAAAGTAAAATGATGGAAAAGGATAAACCGTGCAAACATCAATCAAAAGAAAGCAGGAGTGTCTATGTTAATATCAGATGAAATGGACTTCAGAAGAAAGAAAATTGCTACAGGCCAAGAGGTACATTAAATCATTAGAAGAGTCAATTCACCAAGAAGACATAGCAATCCTAAATCTGTATGCACCGAACAACAGAACAGCAAAATATGCAAAGCAAAAACTGATAAAACTGTAGTTGGAGACTTCACAGTCTTCTCTTAATATGCTCTAGAACAAATAAAAAGTCAGCAAAGATATGGAAGGACTCAACAATACCATCAACCAACAGAGTCTAATAAACATTTGTAGAACACTAACCCCAATGACAACAGAAAACACATTCTTTTTAAGTGCCCACAGAACATATATCCAGATAGACTGTATCCTGGGCAATAAAACAAACCTCAAAAAATTCAGAATAATTGAAATCATACAGAGTGTGTACGAACTGCAATGGAATCAAACCAGATATCAGTAAGAGAATAACAGGAAAATCTCCAGATACTTAGAAATTAAATAACCCACTCCTGAATAATCCATGGGTCAAAAAGGAAGTCTCAAGGCAAAATTTTAAAAATACATTGAACTGAAGGAAAATGAAAACACAATCTGTCAAAACTTGTGGGACACAGCCAAGGCAGTGCTGAGAGGGAAATTTATAGCACTAAATGCTTGCATTAGAAAAGAGAATAGTCTCGGGCTGGCCCGTGGCTCACTCAGGAGAGTGTGGTGCTGATAACACCAAGGCCACGGGTTCGGATCCCATATAGGGATGGCCGGTTTGCTCACTGGGTGAGCGTGGTGCTGACAACACCAAGTCAAGGGTTAAGATCCCCTTACTGGTCATCTTTTTAAGAAAAAAAAAGAAAGAAAGAAAAGAGAATAGTCTCAAATCACACAAACTAAAAAAAAAAATTAGATAAAGAAGAGCAAAATAAGCCAAAAGCAAGCAGGAAAGAAAGAAAAGAGAATA